ATAGAAGAACGGAGCTAAGACTTCAGTAAGATGCTATTTAACCTCACAGCACTCTTGGAGCCTCATCACAAGTTACATTAAGAATTTTTGTTACAATGAGTATTAAAATTCAGGATAAAGGATGTCGCAAAACTTACTTGTCTCTCCAGAATGTTGCATCATTTTAAACTGCCTCCATCTTTTGTGGTCACTTGTAAGAACTCTACAGGAGGAATCATACCTCTTCTTTATGTGTTCTCCTCCTCGCATACTGTGATCCCTTTCATGATAGGTTATTGCTTCTTGTCTCTTGGAAGCTCTGCAAAACAGCCAGACAGATTGATTTTCCATTACTGCTATAGGCTGTTCCTATTAATATGTGAATAATATTTAGTTGTTAGATATAATTAAATCACCCAGACTATGTTAAATGAATATGCTTGGTCCGGGGGAAACCCACAGAAGTCAGGTCTAACATCTTTTAATGTTAGCCATACAAACTTATGCGTAGGTGTACTAGACCACATGCTTTAATACTAGGCAAAGTTCCCTTCTTTCTGCATTACACTCTACAGGAAGATCTCAAAGAAAACAGCAAGATATTTCTGAATGTTTTGGTGTCAATTCTAAAACCATTAATTTATTGTTGTATACGTGTATTTTGTTTTTAAACCTTAATAGCACTGCTTTAGGATTTAAGGAATTAGTTGTGTAAACTATTTAAAATTATTCTACTGAAATCCAGTCTATTTCCTCCACAGGTCCTCAAGGGCCACTCTAATTTTGTTAGAAATGTGGGGAGTGTTATGTTAGGAACTCAGTGGAAGGGATGTGTAAAAATGCCTGAGAACTCCTGTTATCTGCAGACCATTGATGTGGTAGAACATAATGGCACTTTTCAAGAAGCTGCAGAAAACCATGTTTTGTTGCATATTTAAGGACCTTAACCTGCAAGTTGTCATCTAAATACCTGGTTGCCTATCAGCTGGTACAGCGGAAGCCTGTATTTGCTGATTTTACTGTTCCTCTTGCTATGCAAGGTCATTGGTTTCTTTTCCTTTCCTTCTGTTTTCTTTCTGTCTGTCTTGGAGGAAGTTCTGAGGAAAACCTTAGTCAGGAAAAATTTCTATTTCTTTCCCTACAAAATAGCATAGTACACAGAGTCACATTACGTAAACTTTTTAGCAATATGTTGCAAAGGCAGAATTACAGTGCATGACTTCTGGAATGCCGAGCAGTACTCTTTCAGAAGCATTTTCTACAGCAGTTTAGCATTGCTACACCCTTGGATTTTTATACCTACTTTTAACAGGTTTGAACAATGGCTACAATATTTGGCTGCTGCAAACTCACCCAGGATCTTTTTATTATGCCTACTCCCCACCCCACCCCTTTCAAATTAAGCAGTAACAGATGTCCAACCACAGTTACATGAATCCACGCTGCTACCTACAAGTACACCAGCTACTGTACTTTTATCCTCTCTGTACCTTGTAATCCTGCTGCTGGGGGATGGAGCGGCTGCATTAAAGCTTTGGATTCTTAGGTGAATCTACGCCACTGTCATGGTTTAACCCCAGCCAGCAACTAAGCACCACACAGCCGCTCACTCACTCCCCCCCCATCCACTGGATGGGGGAGAAAATCAGGAAAAGAAGTAAAAGTCGTGGGTTGAGATAAGAACGGTTTAATAGAACAGAAAAGAAGAAATTAATAATGATAATGATAACACTAATAAAATGACAACAGTAGTAATGAAAGGATTGGAATGTACAAATGATGTGCAGTGCAACTGCTCACCACCCGCCAACCGACACCCAGCCAGTCCCCCAGCCGCGATTCCCTGCCTGCCCTTCCCAGTTCCTAACCTAGATGGGACGTCCCATGGTATGGAATACCCTGTTGGCCAGTTTGGGTCAGGTGCCCTGGCTGGGCATGAGAAGCTGAAAAATCCTTGACTGTAGTCTAAACACTACTGAGCAACAACTGAAAACATCAGTGTTATCAACATTCTTCACATACTGAACTCAAAACATAGCACCGTACCAGCTACTAGGAAGACAGTTAACTACATCCCAGCTGAAACCAGGACAGCCACGTTCATCTCCTGCTGCTGTTCTGGGTCCTTCCTGAGCCTGTTGCACAAACTGTCAGTGACTTGTATGCCTCAGTTAAATGCTGTTGAAAACCAGTAGAAAGATACTTTTAATAATTCAAATGCATATCCTTGCAAGGCTCAGTACATATGTTGGTTGCATTGTGAAGGTCTTTAAAGACAATGCTTTCTTTCATTTTAATGAATGTTAATGTTCCATCTGTGTGTGTAGGAACACACCTTATTCCTGGCATCTTGAATATTCTCTCTACCAAGTTATGCTGGTTTCCTGTTGGATATTGTAGTGATCTGAGGTAGTTACAATAATTCTGGATTAACTGAGTGAAGTGAAAAATGAATCTTTGAAATAAAGACTAAATTCTACTTGAGATTTTCAATAGCCTCCATCACTATACAGTGCCTAACAATTTATGTTGCCTTTATCCTGAGAACAACACTTTACTATCATTGTGTCTGGTTATTGTTTAGGGAATGTAGGGATCAGGCTAACAAAGTAATTTGGCCAAGATCATGCTAGAATGTGAACTAGAATATGAGTTTTTCAGTCCCAAATGATCATCTTGCAGATGAGGGCTTATCCTCATTACCCAGAAATATGCATGGGATTCTCAGTGATGGGATGGGAAACTACTGAAACCAGATCACAACTTGGAATCAACACGCCATTTGCAGAAAAAGCTGCCAAGTAAGACCAGGCTGAATGTTTTGGCCATGCTACTTATCTTCAGACTTTCTCATGCCAATCCATATTACTTTATAAAAATACATAGATCTTTTTGAAGACTTTTCAGATTTAGTTATTTGAGGAACAAGCTGACATTTTCAGGTTTCTGAAAAGTTTGTGTGAATTTTTTTGGGGGTATGTATGAAATACAGAAATCTTACTGAGTAGTTAATCTTCAACACTTTACACCATCAAGACTCTTTTTAACTCAGGGAAGAGGAAAAAAACATGAAACCTCTAAACTCCCCCCCCCCCGGTCTTAGAATTTATAAAGGCTAAATGGATGGTTTTTGAATGTGTGCAATAAAATACACTCTTAGGCTGAAACATTGTATTTCAGGTTCAAGCTGAATCCAATTTTTACAGGCAACCTGTTAACCTCTAAGCCAAAATAGGTAGGGTTGTAACAGAAATGCTGATGAGCCTTAATAAAGCAACTCTACCAAAGAACACTGTTTCATCTAGTATGTGTACATACACTGTATTGCTCCTATTATACATGCTGTAAGTGACACATGAACAGGACAAGATAACGTAAAATACAACAAATTTGTGTCACATTGGTGCAGACATTAAAAAAAGCTGGTGAATCTAAGAAAGCCTTTTATGATAAAATAATAATACCATTTTGTAAGCCCTTCTTCTTGCAGTACAATTAATTACTGAGTTCATTAATTAATGAACATATTAGAGAAAGAACACCATTACTGACCAGTGGAGACCTGATATATTACTGAGTCAATAAACTATTGAACAAGAAACAGGACCTTTCAGGAGAATTTTTTTCTCATAACCTACAAACACATATATTATTCTTGCACAGTCAGCACTTCTTTGGTACCCTTATATTTCATATTACTAATTCTTTTAATCACGCATACTACAGCAGTGTTTTATAACCTACCTAATGAGTAATTGGACAGGTGACATTGGGACTGAGGCCCTGAAGTGTCAAGCATAATAGAGCAGGATATTTTTTTCCCCACTAGGTTTTTGAGAGTAAAAGATAGTAAAAGAGCAGATAGGATAGGAGGGAGAAAGGACTCTTGTACCACAAATTTGGCAGAGAAGTACAGATTTTAAGTGGATCCATGAACTATAAATGACTTTAAATTGCTGTGTGATACAGATAAACAAGTAAAGACATAAAAGGTTTAAAATAACTCTGAATCTTTTTCATTGTCAGCAACCAAGGAGTTTACCTTGGCCAAGCTGAAGTTGAATGTAATTTTCTTTAAGTCAGTATAGTTAAGGTAATTCTTTTTTGGTATTGGAAGAGTGTGTGTGGGGGGGTGTTAGTTATTTGGAAAAGGTAAGAGCCTTCATAATGCTTCAGTATCTCAGTGGCAATAGGTACCAAGCACCCTTCCCCCACCTTAGCCCCCAAGTTATCATTGATTGCATCTAAATCTATAGAGGTATCTTTTCCTGGCAGCTCTGGTAGTTACAGTAGATTGTTAATCTGTGAATGATCAGAATAAGCCTCTCTGTCTCAGAAATCTCCATGCAAATTACTTCTAAATGCATGCCATAAATTTATTAGTAGCAGTTTGAAGTGCACAGGTCATCTTCTAAACTATTTAAAAACATATGTCTGTTACACATTAAAAAGAGTCTTATTCAATTTATATTCACTTTTCTGTAGATGTAGATAGCCCCTGTCAAAGTAAACCTGTGTAATTTTTGAAAAAAAAAATTTAAAAGGGAGATGAGGTGTAAGTAGAGATCTGTAGTTGTCCTTTTTGTAGGTTTTTGTTTCCTCATTTTACTCTTGGTTTTAATCAAGCTGATATGCTGCTACAGTAAGACATCACTAGTGACATTTTCCTTCAGACACTTGATGCAAAACCAGAAAATTTGTGGAACATCTACAGAGTCCTCATCCTACTGCTTTTTTTTCCTAAAAGAAATAGAGCAATTCTTTTAAAGACTTTAGGAATGTATTCATCTCCATGGGACAACAGACTATGTTATTATTGAATAAGCATTTTGGTTGTCATTGCTCAGGGGTACTGATGTGTGTTTTTGAAAGAAAATTAATCTCTACTTAAAAGAATGAGCAATGCTTTGAATGTTAGAAGGCTAGTTTTTGCTGTACAGTTAATACCCTTCTAGCCCTCACAACAAATTTGTACAAGAAGGAAGAAAGACATTAATACATTTTTTTGTTTCTTTTTCCAGGCTATCCGCTGTACACTGGTAAATTGCACATGTGAATGTTTTCAGCCAGGGAAGATAAACCTGAGAACCTGTGATCAGTGTAAACATGGCTGGGTGGCACATGGTAAGAAATGTCTGTTCCTGGCTTGTCTTCTCTATTCTGTCCGTCTTTCCCAGTATCTTTAAATACTTAGAGCTGGAGTGATACAGACAGTAGTGATATCTATTTGTCTGTACATGCATGTGCATGCATTCTGGGTTTGTGCACATGTATGCATGCACATGTTTTTTTTTTACAGCAATTTCTAGGATGAAAAAGTGAGGGTCTGTTATTCTGGCAATAGTTTCAAGTGCCACTGGAGTTCAACAGCTTGTGTACAGCTCAAAAGAATATTCTAGCCTCCAGGAAATGATACAGTTCTAGCAGGGCTTAGCAGAAAGGCAAAAAGTTTATAGTATGGTTGCACAGCAGAGTTTGTATTGCAAAGAAGCATCAGCCAATAAGTCACTGACCCTAATGGAAATTCAAACATACCAATGTTAAACTTCCAGAGCTTGGATGTCAGAATGAAATGAGTGTATCCTATATGGCTCAACAAAAGTGTGCGTATGTGATTTGTGAGTTGAACCTCTCTTCCCATGTTTAAGTAGCTAAAGAAAGAAAGGAGGGATTAGAATGCCCAGATCCTGTATAAAGGCATCAGTATATGTAGACCTTCCATTTTACTTATCCTTTACTATTTTGTGTGTTTAGTGGTTTTTTTCGTGACAGTCTTGATTAAGCTATGCATCAGAGAGAGCTGTATGCAGCTGTATTAGAAGGGCTGTATACAACTGTATTAGAAGGCAAATAAAGAGAATACGTAAAATGGTTTAATTAAAAAAAAAAGAGGAAAAAAAGGGAAAAAAGAGAAAGATTACTATGTTTGCAGAAGAAATCAGTGTTGGACATTTCTTCTCATGGTCTAGGCTATTGGCACCTAAGCAAGCACAGTCTCCATTCCCCACTGCTGCCAGACATTCAGTGGGTTATATTCTATAAATTTTATTTTAATTTGATGACACCTGGGGTGGAAGCTTAGTACTTCCCTCCTAAGATGCACTTGATCTCTTTTTAGTTCATGTCTGTGTGTATTTGTGCCTGAGTATGCTGACATATGGCAAGCGTGAATGCTCAACAAATTCAACAGCACAGACTGCCAGAGAAGTTTTTAAAACATCACATACATGGAAAGGAAAGTAGAAATGCAGGTACCATGCAGTCCTGTGACACTGCATAGTAATATATACAGCCAGCCTAGAAATACCCTAACACCACCGATCTGCTAGCTGGTTGCAGGTTTATTATATACTAGATTGTCTAGAGACACAGCTTATTTTCACTCCTCTTTATTCACAGAAAGCTATCTTCAGTCACAGTATAACCAGACTCACATTTCTTGGAAGGTTTGCTAAACCTTGCAAAATTAGTATAGTTCAGGCACGCTTCAGGTTTGCGTAGAATCAGCATCTGAGGTTTTGCTGATCCACAGATAGGGAAGACTTGTCTAGCTATTTTCCAGGGTGTCCTCCTGTTGAGTAATAGAAATTAGGAGTCTAGCACTTAGATTCTGGCATATGGGCATCCTGCATTTTCTTTTTAACCAGTACATCTTAGAAGAGTGTGATCAGATTTTCCTGATAAATTCTTCCCTGTGAGGTGGTTGAATTGAAAATCAGAATGTATGACAGTAATCTGAGATTACCACAGTATATATAGTAGAAATGTCCCTGTTTTATAAATCCAGAAAGTTAAAAGGTGAGTTTAATGATTAGGGATATACCACCTGCTCCTGTACCTGAGTGCTTGACATTCCGAATAGAAAACTTAATACAGCTATATATTATTAGAAAGTGTTTGTTTTACTACTGCACCAAGTGAAGAATGCTCTGATTTATTTTTTTTTTTAGTATACTTTGTGTACATTTGTCTGGAGTATTTACATCTTATGGCAGAGCAGGACAAGTCAAATATATGTTTCATATACATACTCAAAGCACAGGCTTATAAATTACTTCCTAGAGACTGTGATGCATCTGCTTCAATTCTTGATCTTAGCTGTTTTCCAGGATTTTGAGGGCAGCATTCAGGACACTGATCAATTCACTGTAGCGCCTGGATTTCAAAATAACTGAATCAGGTTGCTGTTCAGAAGTGTTTTTCCTTAAACCCTTAGCACGGTACTTTCAGAAGTTGTTCCCTGAATGCAAATAGTATTTCCTGCTGCTTTAATTAAAGGGTTTCCTTCTGATTTTTATTAATGAATTTCAACTCAGCTCCTTGACACATGATGTAGTGCTTTCCTGAATGTAATTATCAAAGAATAGGTGTTTCCAACAGGAAGTACCCTGCTTATTCAGTTCTGATAACCTAGAATCATAATTAACTGAATAGATCAAAAATAGCTTAGAACTGCAGTCTTCTCATGGTATACTTGACTAATCTGTGCAGAGTTAATTCATGTTAATAACTGCCATTTAAAATGTTGGAATTCTTGGAGTGAGGAAGAAAGGGCATACAGCCACCACAGTATTATTGCACTTAACAACTGCTAGTCTGTTTTCTTTTTTCCTGCTTCCATTATCTTTCTCATGTTTTTTCTCACTCACCTAAAATGAGCTGTACACATCTTGAAAGGAAAGGTTTCCTACAAGTTCAATTTTCTTCTGTCTGGAGTTGCCAAAAGTGGGATTGTCAATATATGAACAGACTCATCAGAGAAATTCTTCTGTGGCAAGATAAATGTTTCTGTTGGCAAAAGTTCAGCTTATCGAATTTTGACCCTGCACCCCTGTGCTACAGTGGTAATCCTACCATCAGTGTTTTTAAGGCTGAAGCCAAAAGCTGCATAGAGCGTAGCAGCATTTTCTAGTACTGGTGTGCATAATGGAAAATGGGTTATTGCTGGTGTGACTCTCTGGATGTTTTAAGGGATTTGGATAACTAGCCTGTTTTAATTTGTTTTCAGCTGAAGCCTGGCTTTCGTATTGTCAGCTTGGGTGGGGATTTATTTTCTAAAACAAAAAATAAATGGTTTAAATTGGATAAGCCATTTCCTAGGCCTCAAGCAGGCAAACAGATAACAGTTAGATGTTTTTCCTTCTATTTTTTTTTTTCAATGGTTAAGGTACTTTGTATCGTCCATATGGTGAAAAATAAAATCTTATTAAAATCTTAATAGTCAATTTTTTTTAAGGAGAATTTATTTTAACATAGGCAATTGCTATTTTGTGGCTTTTAAATAATGTAGGAGTAAGATGACTACAAAAAATTATTACTTTCTTGAGTGCTTGAATTGGTTTCTTCTCCTGCTATTTTTGTTGTATTAAAAGTAACATACTATACTATGAAGACAGTCATGACATTTTACTAGCTTTAGCACAAAAATCACTTACTCAAACTTTATTGGAAATAATGAAAAACCCACTTTATTTGCCACCCACTTCCCCTAGCAGAAGTAGCTTAGCTTATGAGGAAAGAAATTAAGCAAGTCTGCAGTAAAAAGATGTTGATTTCATTGAGTTTGCATTTTGCCTTGTATGCTTGTCATTGATGTCAGAATGACAACTATCATATTGCTAGCAGAAATACTCTTATTATATGTAGTCCAACAGATCAAAAGACCCAATGCATATCAATGGGAAATGCAGCCTACCCTCTCTCATAACTATTTTGCTCTAAAAAGGTGTGCCAAGGTGACATATGTCGTAGTGGACTAAAGCTATAATTTATGACATTCATATTATTTATTTTAGTTCCAGTATCTCAAACTTTGCAGTGATTTAAAAAAACACAGTATAATAATATTGTTAAGTTTGTCTGAAATCATTGTCACCTTGTTTCAGAGAGTCAGAAGATGAGAAAGACTATCTCTGTCTTGCCTTCACACTGATCACTGGTAAAACTCGGACAGCAGCAGCATGTTTTTCAGATGGTTTTGGTATACTGTGCATTCTTGGACTAGCTGAATTTCACACTGTTCAATCTACTCCAGGAAATGAAGTATTCTGTGAACATTTTTGCTGTCTTCCTTCTTTTTTTTGTCTCTCAGAGAAAGCTGATCCTTAGTCCTGTAGTGATCTTTGATGTCTTTTCATCTGCATCATGCCAACTGGCATAGCTCAGGGCTGGGCTATTTATTCAAGTAGAGTTTAGTACCTCTCTGAGGTATGATGAGGCCACATACGGCCCCATCTCCAGTCCAAGACTTGGCCAAGCCTTTTCTCTAGTAACTCTGAGATTAAGTTCCTTTTGGTTTTGATGAAAATGACATCAAATAGGTGATTTTGGCACATAGGGCAAATCCATTACTCTTTTTCAGTTTAAAAGCTGCCATCCAGTGAGTACTCGTGCTCAGAGACTTGCCATGTGGGTTACACTTTCATTTTGTGAAGGAAGTTTTCTGCTGTCGGTATTTATCTAATGCATGTACTAGCTTGCTGTAAGTGAGACTAACAATGAAAACAACAACCTCCACTAGAAAATGGAGAATGCTCTGTTATAAAGTCAGATGCATGACATGGCTGTGACTTCTTCATTCAGAATGGCTGAATTTTATGACTTTCTACATGGTAGTTCATGAAATTGTCAGGTAAAAGAAACTTGAAGTGAGAACATAAGAAAGGAAGGACAGGTGTAAATAAATAAATAATAAACAAAAGAAGAATACTGTGGAAATTTTAGAAATTGCATCTCTCCCTTACCCTGAAGTTGCTGAAAAGACTTGGTCCAGGAAGAAGGTTTAGATTGTAAATGTGAGCTGCATGAGAATGAGGCGAGAAGGAAGAGGAGTGTTATGTTGAAATAAAATTCAGCAGGGTTCCTATATTTGTCTCAGTCCAAAGCTGTTAAGTGAAAGAAATCCAGGTTTGCAAAGTCAAAGATCATCTCTAACAAAACAAAACAAAAACACGTCACAAATCTTGGAGTCTCTCTAAAAGCTGGCAGAACTGCCATGTTGTTCTTTACTTAAAAATGGACATAGTAGAGAATAAATACTAAAAAAGGAAAGGAGAATTGTAATCCTATCATTATAGTTTACTGGTAAAGTAATTGGGTTGTTTTTGTATTATTCCATAGGATAT